ATTGCATTCAAGCAATTGACGCCTAACTGCCGCTAATTCGAGTGAAAGTAAAATGCGCACGGCGCTTTTAACCTATTTAAAAGCGACGGAAAGCGAGGAAAAGAGGGAAAATTCAAACGAACTAAAAACGAACAATTGCTTTACGCCGAATTGCCGCTATTTCAAAGTGAAAGTAAAATGCGCACGGCGCTTTTAACCTATTTAAAAGCGACGGAAAGCGAGGAAAAGAGGGAACGCCCCCGCCCCGCCCCCGCGGTGATACCGGTATTACCGGTGTTGTCACACGTCGATTAACCGGTGGGAAAATTTCCCCACCGTCACAACCCTAGTCCCTAGTAGGTTTCATAATGGTCCCAATCATTTACTCCTGCATTTTCCCACCTTTCCTCTCCAAAACCATCCTGTCGTTTCTTATTTACTGCAATGTTTCATTGGTTTTTGCAGCATAATGTAGATGCCATGTCATTTTGTCACCCTTAAATCCTGTAGCTCCTGTAAACTTTTTTTATTTTATTTTATTTTGTTTTTCGTATTATTTTTATTTAATTTTCTTCTGCATTTTTGTTTTGTATTTATTTTGCAGCATTTATTTAGTTTTCGTAGCATTATGTAGATACATTTAACAATGTAGCTACTGTAACATTTGTTATTTTATTGCATTTTATTTTATTTTTTTAGCGCCAATAGATTTCAGTAGAGCTTTCAATAGATTAGCTCTCAGTAGATTTTGTAATTGTCCCAACCATTTACTCCTGCATTTTTGTGTTAGATGTTACTGTTCAGTCTCCTCCTTTTTCTTTTGTTCTTCCTGCTTTATTTAGTTCTCTCGTATCTTCTTGTTTTCCATCCCTGCTTGTTTCCACCCTCCCATCCACATTGTTCACGTGTCGTCTCCCTGTGGTACCCATAGCCGATCCGATCCGCCCCAGGACCAGCTGACGGTGCTGCTGCCGGCCGAGGGGAAGCGGCAAGTGTCCAGGTCAGTGTCTCAAACGGGTCCCGCTCCTGAATCCTGTCCGCTTACTCTTGTTCTTCCACTTACAAGCTTGGCTCACGAAAACCGGACTCCTGAACTTCTTATGGGATCCGAACCGCTCTTGGGATTCAAACTAACCATCTTCTGACTGGATCTGTGAGCCTGAGGTCCTGTTTGCTTTATTCTACTTGCACAACATAAATCCTCTGAACAGTACGTTCTCATCCTCTTCTGCCTCTCTTCAGTTGAGTTATCATTAATCTGCAAACTATCTCCGTACAGTAAGTCCAGTACGGAACGGAAATCTAAATCCAAAGGCATTAAGGTGGCGGGTATGAGGGATATTAATGAAGGTCATTAACGGTGTTCAGCTGCAATGGTTGGAGAAGATCTGGTGGAGTGAAAGGTGTGCTAAACAATTGGTGTCAAACAATTATGGATTTTTTGATGGCCAAGCTGATATATATATAAAACTTGTCGTCCAATACTGATTATTAAAAAGGCCAAATATCATCCGATTTATCGCTCTTGGCAATATATCGGTTGACCACTACTAGACATATATGCATAAAATCTCACACTTAATTTAAAGAAAAACGTATCGTCCATTGCTGATTATTAAAAATGTCAAATATCGGCCGATTTATAAGGTCTTGGTGATATATCGGTTGACCACATCTGTATTTTCAGGTAATATCTAGTAATGGAGGTTGATGGTTCTGGGATCTTAAAAGTTAGACATTTATCGGAGAAATGGAACGTATCATTCAATGCCGATATTTTTAAAATGCCAAATATCGGCTGATTTATCGGTCTTGATGAAATATATGTCGACCACTACTGGACATTACCAATAGAGGTTGATGCTTCTAGAATATTCTATAGACGATCTGTTTTACATGCTGGAGAACTAGTGTGCTGTATGATGGAGAATTTGAGGTACTATGGACTTTAATCAGAGTAAATGCCTTATTTAATTTAACAAAACTCAGAAATACAGGCTGTTCAGTATGTCATCATTTTCATAGCCCAAGTTATTTGAGCATTTTAGAAGGATGTGTTTTCAATTTTTGATCAGCAATATGAGATATCGAATGCATTGTGCTTCTGTTTCTCAGTCTTATGTTCATTTGAGCCTATTTAAATATAGACTACTGTCTTCTGTAAATGAAATCTTTTAGCTTGAATGAGCGATGTATAACTTTATTTTGAGAATTTGTAGCTGTGTCAAAATAAAGGTTTGACACTTAAAGGTCAAACAGTAAAATGTATCGTCCAGTGTCGATAATGAAAAAAATGGCTTTTATTTTGAGAGTTTGTTGATGTCAAAATAAAAGTCCCAATGGTGTCAAATAAAGGTTTGACACTTAACGGTTCAATGTCATTTTCACATGAGGAGTTTCACGTGTGTTTAGACTTGTGCCGGTATTCGGTAATGCGATATATCACGGTAATGACCATGCACGGTATTGTTATCGTGGGCACTTCTAAATACCGTGAATAATTATATATTACAAATTATTCCAAATTTTGAATGCATTTTAAAAGTCCCAATGATGTCAAATAAAGGTTTGACACTTAACGGTTCAATGGCGAAATTTAAAAATGCCAAATATCAGCTGATATATCGGTCTTGGCAACGTATTGGTCAACAACTTCTAGACATTACTTAAAAACACAGAAATGGTTCTAGAATATTCTATATAGATGGTCTGTTTTACGTACATGGTGGAGAACTAGTGTTCTGTGATGGAGAAAATGGACTTTTTTATTCTATTCATTTTGTCGTCATTTTCACATGAGGAGTTTCACGTGTGTTTAGACTTGTGCCGGTATTCGGTAATGCGATATATCACGGTAATGAATATGCACATGATAAAAGCATTAGCAATTAATCGCAACATGAAAAATTGATACCGGCATATCCCTACGTGTGTTATTTGTCTCCTTGAACATTTTAGAAGGATGTATTTTGAATTTTTGATCAACGATATGAGCTATCGAATGCATTGTTCTTCTGTTCCTCAGTCTTATTTTTATTTGTGTTAATTTAAATATGGTGTGTTGTGAGAGAGATCTTTAAGTTGACCATGATGCAGGCGTGAAGTGTGAAGATTCCCGTCGATGACAGACCTGTCAGTCAGGGTTTATCTTGTGTAAAGCAAACACTTGATGTTAATGTTATGTAAGAGGTTTTCTTAGAGCTTTTTGTTGTATTGTGGTGTGTGTGAATGAGGGAAGGGAAGGGTTGGGTGTGGACGACATTCAATCTGGCTCTCGAGCTGCTTATAAGTGTATGTCGGTGAGAGGTACACACACAATGTACAACATGCATTTAAATTATTGAATGAGAATCAGCACTAAGATAAGTACAAATTTGAAACATAATGCATTCTGATGTTAGGTGTATTAGGTTACCATCTAACATTATTTGTTCGTTTTCCAACTTTTGTTTCATCTTTTTCAAAGTCAAAGGTTAATTTGTACATCTAATTGAGATATTGATGAACTCTATATACCTGAAGTCTCTCGCATATGATTCTGTTGAGCAGATGTCTGATTTTAAATGAATAGAAGTGCTTTGATTTTCTCAAAAATACATTCAAGGACGTCATCATAATCTGCTCCAAACTGAACTTTTCCTCAAAGATTCTTTTCATCTCAACACTTATTCGTGTTCTTTTGAGATCTGCATTTGTGCAAGGTTGAGATTTACTTTTGCAAGGTTTTTAAAGAAACTAAAGCACAGTTTGCACTTGATGAAATGAGTTAAAATGCTAAAACTGCATGTTTATATAACACACACACACATGCGCACACACACAAATAGTAATAATATATAATGTGATATATATACAGTGGGTACTGAAAGTATTCAGACCCCCTTAAACGAGTTTTGCGCATCGTGTGTGTGTGCACGCGCGCGCGTGTGTGAGAGAGAGAAAGAGAGAGACAGGGTCACTCACAGTGGAGTCAGCTGTCTTAACCGTGGCTTGTGTACTGTAATAATCCTGAAAAATCAAATGCATCACGGTTTCCACAACAATATAAAGCAGATTAACTGTTTTCAGCATTAATAAAATCAGAAATGTTTCTTGAGCAGCAAATCAGCATATTAGAATGGTTTCTGAAGGATCATGTAATGATGTTGAAAATTCTGATTTGATCACAGGAAAAAATTACGTTTACAATATATTCAAATAAAAAAGTTATTTTTAATTGTAATAATATTTCACAATTTTTACAGTATCTTTGATCAAATAAATGCAGCTTTGGTGAGCAGACAAGACTTTTTCAAAAGCATTTCAAACATTTCAGTGATAGTCTATATGTGTCGTTTCCGTATTTCCGCCACTGCTGGAATAGATACGTGAAGCATCTGTGTAAAACATGTTGTCGCAGAGCGACGTCAAGGGTTAACCTGCGTAAAGAATGTGACGGTCAGCACCTCGACGTCTTATTTTCGATCTGTCATTCAGCACACTCAGTGTGTCTCCCCCCTAAAATGAACCCCTAGTAAAACCAGAACACCACAGTCAAACATGACCTTAACCTGGACGCCTCGCTCTAAAGCTGTCAATCAAGCGTGAAGCCCGTCCTCTGAGCGAGAAGATTCCCGTGTGTGTGGCATCATGTGTGCGTGAGGGTTTAAAAGAGCACAGAATACCACAGAGGTTACGTTTGTTCATGGTCACTAGTGAAGACATTAGTCTTTGAAGTGTCCGCTGATGTTGTAGATTATGTTCGCTACAGGACTCTCCATGCTTGTTTAATCTTCGTAGAAGCAGTAAAATATGACCTTGTTCCACTATTACAGTGTTATTTTAGTATCATTGATATACTTTATTATAGTTTTTGTTAACATTTTGAATTAAACTTTATTCTTAGTTAAAGTTTTAGTAATTTTGTGTTTTTGTCACTTTATTAGTTTGTTTATATAGTTTTTATTAATTTATATTTATTATTTTTAGTACTTTATTTCTGTATATTTCTTTTTTTGCTTCTTTTATTTAGTTATTTATTTATAGTTTTAGTCATTTTAGTACTTAGACAGTTAGTTAAATTAAATGAAAATTAGAAATGTCACCTTGCCAATTAGCTGAAATAATTAGTTTTTATATTAAACATTTAATTTAATAAAATATTTTTTTTAAGTTATGTTTTATTTTATAGTTTTTTATTTGTCTTTTTTGATTATTTTATTTAACTTGGTTTATTTATTATTATTATTATTATTATTATTAGCTATTATTTATTAAGTATTTATTATTAGCTTAGTTTTAGTCATTTTAGTACTTCAAACTAAATGAAAATTAGAAATGTTGCCTCAGCAACTAGCTGAAATAAAATGTTTAATTTTAAAAAATATTTTATTTCACTTAGTTTTTATTTCAAATAACATTTTCTATGGTATTAGTTAACTATAAATACTCTACAGTGCTGACACTGAAAGATGCTGCATAACATGCAAAAGTTTCATAATGTTCATATTGTTTCATTTTGACATATTATGTTGCTGTTCATGTTGGTTTCTGTTTAGTCATAGTGAAATCTCATTGGTCCAAAATCCTGTATATTAAACATCACATATTTTGATTGGTTTGGATTTCGCTTTCAGTGATGCCAGAAAAATGATTTTGAAACTCAGTTTGCACCTAATTTAGATGAAGTACTTTACAATTTGTTTGTGAAATGTTTAACTCTTGAATCCAAATATTGTCTTTTCTTGAAAAGAGTAAATAGTCAGACTATTGCAGTCAGTGGTGCACAGCATTTGTTCGCATAATGTGCACAAACACACTCACACGTGATGCAGCGCGCTCTGAATGCACACGTCAGTATGCATACACATGTAATGTACACACAGTAAAGCCCATAATCCAGTGTCAGTCTTTAGGATGACTGGAATCTGCTGGTGAAGATAGATCGTCCCATCAGCCTGCTGCAAACATGGAGATCTGGGTGTTTACATATTGACTCACATCTGCTGTAAATCATTGCACACACATTAACACACTGTGTGTGACTGCGGTTATTATTAGTGGTGTTTAAGTCAATCCTCACTATTACTATTGCTCATATTTAGGGTTAGGGCCCATTCACACCAAAAACTACAGCTATGAAGATAACTAGATATTAGTGTCCACACAGCACACAGATGTTGTTTATTATAAGCGTGTGTTGTCGTCTGCCACTTTAAATGTTCAAGCTCTTTAAAGCCTGATGGATTCTGATTGGCTGTCAGTGTATCATGTCGATCATCAGTAAAAATCATTCGTAAAATGATTCCTGTGGTATCATTCCTCTCTCTTGTTATCGTTATAGTTGTGGTGTGGACATATCCATTCTCAAAGAATTAAAATGATTTTATTAAAACTTTTTTATAATTTTTTTTATTAATGAATTGAGTTTTATTCATTTATTTTGTGTATTCATTTCTTTGCTTTATTTTATTTATTTTGACTTAACCACCAAAACGCTCTTATTGCATGCGAGTTGTCCTGCAGCGTCTATCAGAATTTATTTTTTGAATTTATTTATTCATTTATTTGTGTTTGTTTATTTATTTATTTGCTTAAATTAATTTTTTCTTTAGACTTGACCACCCAGCAAGACACTCTTAAAATTCAATCTGTGTAATTTGCACTGTGGTGTTGACCAGAATTATTGTTAATTAATTATTATTAATAATTGTTATATTATTAATAATAATTATTAATTAATTTATTAATATATTATTATATAATATATACAAATATATTTATATATTTGTGTTTATTTTCATTTATTTGTTTTTGTGTATTTATTTGTTTGTTTGTTGTTTGTTTGACAGCAACATCCACCAGGATTGATTGATTTAATGCATTCATTAATTTATTTGTTTTGTGTATTTATTTGTGTATTTGTTTGCTTGTTTTGTGCGTTAATTTATTTTTGTGTATTTATTTATCCACCCAGAACATCCTCTCTACTGCTTAGCAACATCCTGTCAACTGCTCAGAACACCTTAGCAACTGCATAACAATGCATTGACTACTAATTTCAACACATCCTCAAAATACTGGCAACCACCTAACAATGCCCTAGCAACTACTCAAAACACTCGCAACCACATAGCAACATGCAAAACAAAATCCTTCGGAATGCCATAGCAACTGTCTAGCAACACCCTGGAAACCCCCACACAACAAGCTCATTGACATAACGATAACTGGCTCTTTTTGTTGTTGTTCTAGGAGACAGCAGCGCCTGCCTGGAGGAGGAGGAGGAGGAGGAGGGGCTCCTCTGAAATCCCAGAATCCTCAGCAGCAGCAGGGATTGCAGCAGCAGCAGCAACAGCAGCCCAATCAGACGCAGCAGCCCAACGCAGACCACCAATCAGGTGCTGGCACTAAGCATGTGGTGTGGGGTTACCAGGGCCAGCAGAACCAGGCCGGGTGGCAGGGTGGCCCGCATCACGGCTACAGCCAGAACCGCCGCTGGCATCAGCATCCCAAACACCAGACGAACAGTTTCAATCAGGGGCCCTCGGGGGCCGACAGGGGCCTCATACGCAATACCAAAGAGACAGAGAATGTAAAACACGTGGAGCCGGAGCCCCACATGGAGAAAGGAGCGAAGGATGAGCCTGCGAAAGAGGAGAGAACGAAAGGAGACAAGGAGGAGAAGACGGAGAGTGGGAAGATCTGCTTACTGCAGTCGTCTAAAGAGAGACTGAGGAGGAGATTGAAAGAGAAGGTGATTGCTGCTAAATACATTAGCAACATACTATCAGTGTGGTAAAACATGTTAACAACATGCTAAAACAAGCCAGAAACTTGCTAAATACATACTATCAATACTATCAACATAGTAATAACATGTTAAAGCAAGCTAGAAACATGTTAAATATGCTAGCAATATACTGTCAGTGTAGTAAAACATGGTGGTAGCAACATGCTAAAACAAGCCAGAAACATGTTAATTATGTTAGCTACATTCTATCAATACTATCAACATATTGTAAAATGTTAGAAACATGTTAGAAATGTTCCAAATATGTTAGCAACATGCTAAAGCAAGCTAGAAACATATTAAACATGCTAGCAACATAGTATCAATGTGGTAAGACGTGCTAGCAACATGCTTGAACAAGCTAGAAACATGTTAAATATGTCAGTAACATACTATCAGTGTGGTAAAACATGTTAGAAACATATCAATGTGGTAAAACATTTTGGCAACATGTAAACTAAACTAGAAACATGTTAAATACATTAGCAACGTACTACCAATATGGTAAAACATGCTAGAAACACGCTAAATATATTAGCAATACACTGTCAATGTGGTAAAACGTCCTAAAACAAGCTAGAAATGTGCTAAATATTCTAGCAACATGCTATCAATGTGGTAAAACATGTTGGCAACATGTAAACTGAGCTAGAAACATGTTAAATACATTAGCAGCATGATAGCAACATGCTAAATATACTAGCAACACACTGTCAGTGTGGTAAAACATGCTAAAACAAGTTAGAAATGTGCTAAAAATTCTAGAAACACACTGTCAGTGTGGCAAAAACGTTAGCAACATGCTAAACAAGCTAGGCATGCTAAATATACTAGCACAGGACTCTAGACTACAACAATTTTTTGAGAATGTGCGAGTTAAAATTTGATGTGGTCGCATTTGTGCGAGTGCATGTTCTGCGCTGCTCCAAAGCACCTGCTCCATACAGCTCTGCAGAGCCGCGGCGCATTGTAACAGGAGACGGATTTCACCGATCACGTGAAGAGAGGCGCTGTCGCAAGCGCTTCAGGCGTAGAGCTTTACTGCGTCAGCACGAGCGCGAATGCGTGTGGCAAAAATGATGCAAATATGAGGAAATGATGGCAGATGGAAGATTTGGTTTTCAAGCTAAAGTAAAAGACCGCTTCTTAAACCAGAGAAGATAAACATGTGGGTATTCTTGTGGTGAAAAAAACATGCAAGTTCTGTCACCAACAGCCAGTTTAGTTTTACTTTTCTTTTTGTTTTCGTTTTGAAAAGCTTATCTTTGCTGTTTACCTCATGTCACGCTATGGAGGCTTTCTTTATGTTTTATTTGATTCCTCAGTGTTTGCTAAACGTTCTGTAATGTATTAGTCGGTATATAATACAGCATGTGGTGTATGCCATGCCTCATCTTATTCGTTTTTGTTAATAAACGTTATGTAAGCTAGTTTGTCATTATAGCCTACTGTTTTATTGTTGTTGTGCTTTTTAATTAAGAATAACAATGAATCCATCTTTTGTTTTAGTCTTAAAAAGTGAAAGGTGTAAAGATATAAGCAAAACAGACAATTATCTTATCTTGTTAAAGGTGACACCAAGATCTCGAATTCGAAAGTGAAAGCGAAAGCGCACGATCGCTTATAACATAGCACAAGAGGAATTCCCGTTCACAAAATTTAAATCACAAATAATACCGATGAAAAAGAACGGGTTGAAAGTTGAACACTTTGGTTACCATATAATTATGAACTATGATAAAAGTTCATCAGCATGCATTGAATAACCCCGTTGTAGCGCAAAAAAAAAAAAAAAGAAAGAAAATATTGCGACCAAATCATGTGCTCGTGCGACCAGCTGAGAAAGTTAGTTGCAAAAGAATTATGAACTATGATAAAAGTTCCTCAGCATGCATTGATTAATCCCATTGTGGCAAAAAAATAAAAATAAAATTGCGACCAAATTATGTGCTTGTGTGACCAGCTGAGAAAGTTAGTCGCAAAAGAGCGACCAGTGGGAAGAATGAGTCTGGAGCCCTGTAGCAACATACTAACAATGTAGTAAGACATGCTTACAATGTTAAAAGAAGCTAGAAACATGGTAAATACGTTAGCAACATACTATCACTGCGGTAAAACATGCAAATAACATGCAAAAACAAGCCATATGATTTGAAATCTTTTTTAACCGTTTTTATACATTATAAATGTCTTTACTGTCACTTTTAATCAATTTGAACACATCCTTGCTGAATAAAAGTATTCATTTCTTTCAAAAATCATACTGATCCCTAGCTTTTAAACGTAGTATATGCTGTTCCTCGGTGTTCTAAGTCATGTGACCGCTCTCACTGTTCTCTGATTGGCAGGAGGAAGTTCCCGTGGCGACGGCCGGACCTCAGCGGAACCGAATGGACAGATTGTTAGAGATTCTGAACAGCATGAGGAACAACAGCAGCGGCGTGGAGAATCAGCTCACCACGTTCATGGAGGAGGCGCAGAACTCGGCCGATTCAGAGGAGACGCTGAACGAGATTGTCCACACTATTTACCGCAAGGCAGTCAGCGACCGAAGTTTTGCGGCAACGGCAGCCAAACTCTGTGACAAGATGGCTCTGTTCATGGTGGAAGGAACCAAATTCCGCTCTCTATTACTCAACATGTTACAGGTAAGAACTGAATGTTCGTAACTTACTTAATCACATTCTGCAGGTTGTCTCCTACTGGTCAGTGCTGTGTCTCAGAGGACCAATCAGATTGCACGATTCACAAACGTTATCCCACCTGCTGCCCAACCACATCCATCTAAGCTCTTTCGTTTCTCTTTTGCATCTGCAATTTGTCCTCTTCCTCTTTTTCTGAAGGGCTTGAAGAAGCCGACGTATCAGGATGTGACTCACGCCTGCAATCCAGCTGAGTGACCCTGTACAATTTCCTCATTGGACAAAAGGGACTTTTTAGGCCCCGAACGCTTTCACCTCATTTTGAAATTAAGAGTTTCTGAAAGCAAACAAATAGATTTTGAAGAAATAGTTCAAAATGAAATTCTGTCATCGTTTGTTCAGCCTCATTTCCTGTGGAATGCAGAAAATGAAGGGTTTTTTGCCCTGTCTGCTCTTTCCCTTATAATCAAAAACACCAAAAAAGTGACTCACACAATTTACATTTTCCAATTTATATATATATGTATGTGCGTATTTATATATATGTATGTATGTGTGTGTGTGTGTGTATATATATATATATACTGTATATATATATTAGTGCTGTCAAACGATTAATCGCATCTAAAATAAAAAATTTTGTTCACATAGTATGTGTGTGTACTGTGTATATTTATTATGTATATATAAATACACACCCATGCATGTATATATTTAAGAAAAATATGTTACGTTTATATATTAAATATATTTATATGTAATATAAATTATATGAATATAAATATATGCATGTAAATACTTTATGTATGTAAAATATATTATGTATTTATATATACATAATAAATATACAAAGTACACACAGATATATTATGTAAACAAAAACTTTTATTTTGGATGCGATTAATCGCGATTAATCTTTTAACAGCACTAATATATATATATATATATACACTGTATATTAGGGGTGTAACGGTTCACAAAATTCACGGTTCGGTTCGTTACGATACAGTGGTGTCACGGTTCGGTACGTTTTCGATACAGCAAAAAGAAAGAAATGCCAGAGAAATTTCCTTGATT